TCACAGCGGGTCAGTGTCAACATCTGCTCCTGGCAGCCTCCCTGCCCAGCACTGTCTCTGCCCCCAGAGACTGTCGCACGTGCCTTCCCTCACCCTGAAAAGCTGAGGGGGGAGGGGCGGGTATTGTGTCTATTTTTGTCTGGGGTATGGGGGCGCAACCAAAAAGTGTAAATCAAAGGGGGCTCAGCTCAAAAGCTTTGAAAACAGCTGGACTAGCTGGAAAGGCTCCAACCCATGGCGGCACTGCCCTGTGCAGCGGGGCCACCTGGCTCTCACGGAGCTGCTGCCAGCCTGAACGCGCACAGGTCCTGCTGCTCTCACTCAGCCTGTGTTTGATGCCCCCAGATCTGGTCAAGTGAGCGAGGCCGTTGCCGCTCCCTGGACATCCTGCGCCGGCTGCAGAAGGCCTGGGCTGAGAGGCAGTTCCGTTTGGTCAACTTCATCCTGAGCGTGCCCTACCAGGCCCCACTGCCCGACCGTGCCCGCCGGCCGCCCAGCAGGCGCTACCGCCCACCCAAGCAGGAGTACGTCTCCAAGGACAGCGGCACCTTCGTGCTGGCTGGTGAGTGCTGCATGAGGGGGGGCCCAGATTGGCCAGTGGGGTGTATCAGAGATTCACGGGTCTGGGCTATGCCCCAGCCTGTAACCAGTCCCTTGGGAGCGACCCCTTTAGTGTGCTGGGCTGCAAAGAGCCACACAGGGCAGGCCTGCAGCCGCCAAGACTCTGCGACTTGGCCTTTGGGCACCAGCAAACCTGCCTCTCCCCATGGCTCCCTGCAGTGACTCCAGCCCAGCCAGGTGCCTGTGGGAGGCTGGTACAGGCCCCGTCAGGGCACCAAGCTCTCAGGGAGCCTTTGCAAACAAGGTAACGTTTTATTAGTCACCTGGCTACAGAATCCAAAAGTCCTTGGCTAGCTCAGAGAGGCAAAGGTGAAGCCACATCCACCCTGGCCAAGCCAGTGCAAAACACCAGCCAAGTGTCTGTCTGTGTCCTGACCCAGTCCCAGGGGAGAGCAGCCAGCTTCTTCAGAAACCCCTGCTGGCCATCTCCAGTCCTTTGTCTCCAGGCAGGGCGTGTGGAGTTCACAATCCCACCTGCCAGAGCTCCCCACTGCTGAGTGTCGGGCGTTCCGTTGTTGGGACTTCCTAATGTCTCTCTGGGCCTGTGTTAATCTGGGTCAGTTTCAACCAGCTCCTTAACTACCCTGTTTATTCCATGCAGGCAGCACCGCGTCCCCCAGGGGTAGCAATGCAAAGCACAGAGGAAACTGAAGCACGTGTAGGAATAATGAAAATATTACCCCAAATTCCCACTTTGTCACAGGCTGCACGGGGGCGGGGGGAAGGTGGGTCTGAGCAGAGCTGGGACCAGAGCCAGCACTCTCCCTCCCAGGGAGACATGGGGTGGCTGTTGTCCTCTGACTACCCGCTCCTTTCAGACCATGAGACTAGCCAGACCATGGCTCCGCGTCCCCTTGGGACATGGACTCCGCTCTGTCCAGTGCAGCTACCCAGAGTTCCCAGGAGTCTCTCCAGGGAGTGTAGGACTTGAGCTGCTGTGGCCCTGGCTGGTTCTCACTGGAAGTTTCAGACTCCAGGTTTGGGGGAAACTCACCTGTCCCACCCACTGTTCCAGAGTCCAGAGCTGGGGCAGCAGCACCCCAGGAGTGTCCAAAGCTCAGAGCATCTCCATCACCAAGGTACAGGGCTTATGCTGGGCCAATGCCCCCGTGCATGCACCTGTGTGCGAGGCCTCAGCCCTGGCTCCAGCACCTCTTTGGGCCCCTCAGGGTTGCCAGAGTCTTCACCTCTTCTCTCCCTGAATCCAGACACAGCAGAACTCAAGGCCCTGACGGAGAAGAGCCTGCTAACCTTGAAGAACATCATCCTTTCACCCCACACCATGGAGCTCCGGGAGGAGGCAGAGAGCTGGACCAGTACCTTGCGTGGATTTGGTGCGGGCCTGGGGGTGTGAAGGGGAATCCTTGGCTGGAAGCTGGGAGTGGGCGACAGGGATGGGTCACGTGATGATTCCCTGTTCTGGTCATTCCCTCTGGGGCACTTGGCACTGGTTTGGCGGGGTGTGTGGGGGTGTGTGACAGGGATGGGTCACGTGATGATTCCCTGTTCTGGTCATTCCCTCTGGGGCACTTGGCACTGGTTTGGCGGGGTGTGTGGGTGGGTGTGTGACAGGGATGGGTCACGTGATGATTCCCTGTTCTGGTCATTCCCTCTGGGGCACTTGGCACTGGTTTGGCGGGGCGTGTGGGTGGGTGTGACAGGTTGATTTCTACCCCGGATGTTCCCCTTTCTTACAGCTGTTTTGCTTGGTGGCGGCTTCTCCTTTCCTGGTGTGTCTGCACTGCAATCTGAGCCCGGGCTCTGTGGAAACTGGTGTTTGTAGGCCTGGGATTGAGCATCCACACTGAACCCTGACCCTAGGGTTAGCATTTCTGGACCTGGGACTCATACCCACGCTCACATGTCCACACTGCATGACGCAGAGATGAGTCCAACCAGCTTCTCCCAGGCTTCCTCGTGCCCTCCCCAGCTGTAGCCTCTGTAGCCTTGTTTGAGGTGACTGTCCATCCCACGGCACTGGAGAGGAAGTTCTTGCAGCCCACAGCTTGCCCTCCTCGCAGGGCACGACTCCATTGTTATGCAGGCCCTTTTGGGCCACAGAAGCCGATTTATGGACACCAGTGTGGCCTGCACTGGAAAAGTTCATGATGTGAGGGCTTTCCACTGATCAGAGGTCTACATTCATGGACGCTATTCCCACCAAATGATACCAAATGACATAATGGGAGTTACTGTCCTCACTGTTATTCTAGGGGACCCTGCATACCCCCTTTTGTCTTGGCTTAGGAACCCATCTCCTGCTCTCCGAGGGCCTGGCGTGGGTGTGAGTGTGCGATTGGCAGATTGAAATCTTGCTGGCACTGTTTACGGAGCTGTTTCAATCCCAGTGTGATTAATGCTGACCGCATCACTATGTCTTGCTGTGCCCTTCACAATCTTTGTGAATCCAAAGGTGGGCCGTTTGCCCCGGGTGGCTGAACCGGTACACTGAGCCAGCAAGTGCACCTGTCACAGCTACAGCAGGACACACATGGGAACGGAAACCAGAGACGCTTTGTGTGCCCACATGCTGGACTTGCACGGACCAGCAGAGCAGGGAGAATAGGATATTTGTAGAGCAGTTTTTACAGTAAACGAAGTTTTTCAAGTGATTGCTGTGTCCATTCCACTTCAGCTGTATGCACACCCAGTGCACCAGCGTCAGAGATTTCCTAAGTGAAACGTGTCGGGGCAGCGTATGCTCGTGCTGCTGCTGCTTGTGGTCTAAAGGGCAGAGCCATCCCCGCCCTCCCTCAGTTCCTTCTTACCATCTGTGATGGCTGTCAGAGCGTGCTACTGCAAGTGTTTCCGTCTTTCTTAGTCTTGTGTAGTTTACATAGTTGGTATTTGTTAGCGTTTTAGCAGTAAGGTTCCTTTTTCTTTTACTAGTGTACTTCCTTTGTGCTTCATTTCCCGCCGATTCTGGGTACCAATGCCCAGTGCTGGGGCACGCCTTGGTTCTTGGGCTTCAAATCTTGCAATGGATGCAAGAAGCCAATACCAGTCAGTGACCCCCACTCCAGGTGCTTGAAGTGCCTAGGAGAAGCTCACATCAGCGACGATTGCCAGATTTGCAGGGACTTTAAGCCCATAACTAAAAGGACCAGGAGGTCAGATTTGAGGACTTTAGTAACTCAGCTAGAGGTTATGGGCCTACTGCAGAAGTGGACAGGTGAGATTCTCTGGCCTGTGATGTGCAGGAGGTCAGACTTGATGATCATGATAGTCCCTTCTGGCCTTAGTGATCTGTGAGTCAGGCTAAAGCCCCTCCTTATGGACGCAGCCCTGCACCCAGCCTTGCAACCTTCCTGCTCAGGGCAGTCACCGACCACTGCCACTTGCATTAGGAACGCTCCTCCTGTCGGGGCAGAGTTTCGGCACTGATCTCTGATACCAAAGAAGAAACACTGGAAGATGGCATCGAGGGACCCATCATCCAGGAGCTTGAGATCCCAGGCACCACAGAGACTGTCCAGCAGTCAAGCTGGGAAGCAGAGTACAGTGCGCTTGGTGCCAAGGCGCTGCCTGGTGCACAATGAGCCTCGGGCGGGGTTCTCGACTGGTACCAGTGCCACTGAACGCCATCCTGTTCCACTGTGCCGTCCTCTTTGGCTCAGCGAAGCAAGAGACTCCCGGGGCTGTCATGTAGTAATAACATTTTATGTTTGTATTTTGTATAATTTAAATTAAAAAATAATAAAATAATAATGTTGCATGTATTAAATGTATTAATGTATAATTTGACCATATCCTGCCAGCCATCCTTTTTAAATAGCAAAAAAAAAGGCCTAATGGGCCATTGGTAAAAATGCATCAGCCAAAATTTCTTTGTGTCTGAACTGATTTCAAGGCATAGACTCATAGACTTTAAGGTCAGAAGGGACCAGTATGATCATCTAGTCTGACCTCCCGCATGATGCAGGCCACAAAAGCTGACCCACCCCCTTCCCCTTAACTCAGCTGTTGAAGTCCCCAAATCCTGTGATTTAAGGACATCAAGTCGCAGAGTATCCCCCAGCTAATGACCCCTGCCCCATGCTGCGGAGGAAGGCGAAAAACCTCCAGGGCCTCTGCCAATCTACCCTGGAGGGAAATTCCTTCCCGACCCCAAATATGGCAATCAGTAGAACCCCGAGCATGCAGGCAAGATTCTCCAGCCAGACCCTCATTGACCATTGATACTATTTACCGGCGAGGGCACGCTGTTGATTAATTGACTAAAATCACGTTATTCCATCAAACCATCCCCTCCATAAACTTATCTAGCTTAATCTTAAAGCCAGAGAGGTCTTTCGCCCCCACTGTTTCCCTCGGAAGGCTGTTCCAAAATTTCACCCCTCTGATGGTTAGAAACCTTCGTCTAATTTCAAGCCTAAACTTCCCCACGGCCAGTTTATATCCATTCGTTCTCGTGTCCACATTAGTACTGAGCTGAAATAATTCCTCTCCCTCCCTGGTATTTATCCCTCTGATATATTTAAAGAGAGTAACAGACCTTTGAGGATCACCATTTCGTTATAGGCTCAGCATTTTAAAATAAGTAAAAAAATGCCATAATTGTTTTTCTTCTACATTGCAAATTTGATGTTCCTGTTCAAAATATTTTGTGTAAATTAATTCTGTTTTGTATATAAATAAAAAATAAATATTAAAAAATAAGTATAAAAGCCATCACTAAACCAAATATTCTAAAAAAAACCCCAAAACAAACGCAAAGGTGCCAAAGGATTGCAACACGTCCCTATTAAAATACCAATAAAAAGCAAATTAACAACTCTAAAAATAAAACAAGCACCTATCAATAAAAACAACATAGCTGTAATCAAAACCAGCATAAAATAACTTCCTAAAAAAATTTATAAAAAAAACAAAATTAAAAAATTAAAAACAAATAAAAAAAAACAAACAACAATTAATTATAGAACGGTGCAAAACTCATTGGTCCCAGTAAAAAAAATCACTATATAAACAGGGTGCCTTGCCATAAAACTAGCAACTATAATATTGGCAGGACAGTGTGTGTGTGTGTGTGTGTGTGTGTGTGTGTGTGTGTGTGTGTGTGTGTGTGTGATTAAATGCATATGCTAATTGTTATATCTTCAGTAAAAACGGCATATTGCCTTTTCCCCTAAAAAACATCCTGTGTGCTGCTTATAAGCATAACAGTCACACCACAGCATGCAGTCTGCCAAGTCTGTTGGTGCAGGACATGCCGGCTGCTACAGTTCAGCATCCAGTATGGTGGGCACCTCCAGACACTGGTATCCCCTTGTGAGGTGCCGTCGAGGGGCAAACCGGATGTGATTTCCCTAGTGCATCCGCTCTAGTGACCCCTGTCACTGTTCCCTGGCACCCAGAGGCAGTGCACCTCCTTGGTTGAATGACTCAGGTTCATTGTCTGAGTCAGAAGTTGGATCTTATGTGTCATGGCCACATCGCATAAGCCATCACTCTTCTCCAAGGAGTTCTCGCTCTGGTCTCCAGCGGCGGCTCTGCGTTGGTCAGTCAGTGGGGAGCCTTGGGCAGAAGAAATGAAGAACATAAGAATGGCCAGACTGGGTCAGAGCAATGGTCCAGCTATCCCTGTCTCCTATCTTCCCACAAAAAGAAGAACAGGAGGACTTGTGGCACCTTAGAGACTAACAAATTTATTAGAGCATAAGCTTTCGTGGACTACAGCCCACTTCTTCAGATGCATATGCATAAGTCCACGAAAGCTTATGCTCTTATAAATTTGTTAGTCTCTAAGGTGCCACAAGTCCTCCTGTTCTTCTTTTTGCGGATACAGACTAACACGGCTGCTACTCTGATATCTTCCCACAGTGGCCAGAGCTAGAGCTTCAGGGGGAATGTACAGAACACAGCAATTTGAGTGACCCACCTGTCTTCTCCTCCCAGCTGCTGGCAGTCAGAGGTTTAGGGTTGCCCCCAGCATGGGGTTGCATCCCTGACCAACTTGGCTATTAGCATTGATAGACCTATCCTCCATGAACTTACCTGGTTCTTCTTTGAGGGATGTCCTTATGGGTGCTCCACTTGTAGGTGCAGCAGAGCCCCCTGCGCCTGGTATCGAAAATCTTCATCAGCAGTGCCCATTGGACTTCTCCCATCTCGTGCTGTGCGCAGGACGTATATATAGCACTGAGCGGTCCAACCACCCCTAATTCCTTCTGTACCGCCTTTGGTCTGGGACAGAATCCACAGCAGAACCCGCTTCTCCTATTCCTTCAGTAGATACCTGCTAGCGTCGCATAGTTAGTATTTTCTTCTCTTTTCTTCTCCCTCCCCCCCACCAAAAGTTTTTTCTTTTGGTTTTGTTTAACTTTACATCTAC